TCCTGCTCTTGCATTTTCTGATATTCCTTAACAAAACTTTTTATTAACAGCAGTATCTCCTAATATGATTTTAAGAATCAGACCATTTTGCTGAATGACAAATACACTGGCAGTAGGACATATATTAATATGACAAGAACATTTTCTAATATAAAAGGACTTATCACAGCAGTGACTTAGATAAGCAAAATTGAATAACCGTCTTACTGAATTTGCAACATGATCAAAACAAGATTCTGGAATAACAATCACTTCAAACAAATGCTATTCCAGATATGTAACATGAACATTCTCCAAAGAAACACGGTCTATTTTAATCTTGGATGTAAATATTTTCTGTATAGGAATACAGTTACATTTGCCGCTTGGTATTTGCACAAAGAACCTCTGAAATACACGACTGTGCATCAGCATAAGGATAGTATTCAGCTGACCATAAAATGTATCTAAGTACTTTTTTTTCTAAATAAAGGACCGGAGATTATTCTCCTCAGCCTTCCTTTTCAAAATAACTATATAAGTACCTGCAGAGGTTTTAAATTTGAACTGAAGACTTAGGATGCTATTTAGAAGCCAGGAGACAGCCTCTATCAGCATGAAATTCACAGTGTGAGAGAACTGTCTCAATACAGTATATTCATGCTAATATTCTGCTTGCTGTCAGTTCCGATACCTTATAAAGCTGCCTCCTGAGGCAGGACCTGAGCTCCTGCAGATCCCCACGTAGACCCTGAAAATCTATGGGGCCTCTTAATATAAGGAGGACATAAATTGAGTGGTCATTCTCATGATTTTGTGCTGGTCATGAGTGTCCGTGTTTAATAGTCATAAACTTCAAATTGGTTATGCTGTTGCAAACTCTCAGGAGAGAATTTAAAGCAGATTTTTAGATGCCAAGGTTAGACAAATGGGTGGCAAAGTTTTGTGAGAGAGAAATTCAGGGCCATATGTTTACTGACCACCAATGATTGCCAGTTAAATCCCACAGCAGTCTTAAAGTGGGATTTAAAATTAAAAGCAATGCACCAAAAATAAGCACAACAGACTGTGTATTTGGAACAAGATACTTTGCTGCATCACTGCTCTGTAATACTGCGGAAAGGACATAAGGAAATTCAAACACATATGGGAGGAATTTTATTTGCTCTGTGCACAATAAATTGTGTGTTTGCTGAACAAAACCAAGAAACAACCTAAAGGGGGAAAAGTACATAAGTTGCACTGAAATAAAAACATAAGGAATGAAGACAGAAGAAAGTATCGGGTAAAACACTAAATTAAAATAGCACTTACAACAGAGCCACCTGAGGACATCAAAACAGCAAAATGAGTCAGATGATTACATTTGCATGAGATATGAGTGGAGTTGGAATGTGTCAGCTCACAGCCTTCTGTAGCCCAGTTGCCATCCATTGTGTCTGCTGAGTAGTTCCAAAATGCACATTTAATATCTTTATCCGCAGTCTGGAACAGAAACAAGATGTTTTACTGATGGCAGAAAGGCAGGATATTTCCCATCAAGAGACGTTTCTTACATTAGCCAGCACAATTCATTAAAAATGGCTTGTTACCATTGGAAGGCTGGGAAACAAAAAGCACATTCTGCAAGCCCTATTCCTAGCGATTAAAACACGGCTGCGGATGGAAGCATTTTATCCACGCAGCTAACACCCCACCAAACATGTAGGCTAATCAGATTACTGAACCCTTCTGGCACTTGCAAAGGTGTTGGAATTTTTACCTACTTTATAGATACTATACCCCTGCACCGGCTGAACATGGACTAAACCCTGAGGTTACAGCCACATTGCTTGTCCTGTTCATAGTCCCTTCCAAACGAGTAGTTAAAAACCTGAGACTTATTCTGTGCATTTCACAAAGTAATCTGGGATAAAGCCAGGGTCATATCACACCTGCTGTATCAGGTGCGACGAGAGCGATGAATAAGACCATTAGTATTATTTATTACAATGAGTGCTTACTGACACTAGTCAAAGATAAGGTCCTCACTATACTAGAGGCTGTATAAATATATGCAAATTTATATAAAGGTGATCTCTAGCTCAAATATTAGAAGGCAAGTAACAAATTTAAAAGCTGCACAACCAAGGTTAACACCTTGTCCCACTGCCCACCTCCCTACAGAGTCACTTTCTTGTTATGTTTCTGATAATTCTTTGTTCCATGTAAGGTGATTCTTCACATATAAGTGAAGTTGGCAAGATCTATATATACTGGAAGTAAAACTCTCAGTTTTAAACAAATGTGTTGAGATTTCAGAAATAACAAAGTTGCAGTACTGTAGGTTCTGCAATTACCTCCTAGCTCCAGGTTAACTTTTTGCATTAACTTTGAAGCATTTCTTCACTTTTTTTAGTATGCATGCTTAACCATCTGATACACTTTCAGGAAAAAACCCACCTAAATACAGAATAGTCAAGATCCTGTAATATTCTCTGGTTCAGGCATCTACATTTTATTCATGCTACAACCCAGCAAAGACAGCATTGTTGCCCTTGCTTTAGTTCCATAGCAATTTTCAGCTGTATCATATTTAGTATATTGCACTTAGGATGTCACATCTGAAGATTAATCTTATTAGAGAAATAAATGACAAACTCGCATCAGCAAACAACAGAATTATGTCTCAATATATCATACACTGCAGGTATGGTTACATCACATAAAATGATTAGCTATTGTTTTGCTTTATTTGAAGTTGATAATAAAAAAACCCCTTACCTTGGCATACTTTAAGGTAAATGTTATTTTCTCGAGCTCATAGAGTGTAGGTGGATTTGAGCTAATTGCAACAGCTATAACTGATGAGCTTACTGTCTGTCTCTGCTCTGAAGTATCTTTTGAGGAGCGGTTTTTAGGCGATGAAAGCAAAGAACCAATATTGCTATACCGCAGAAAGACAACTGCAATGGTGCCTATCAATCAAACAGACCATGTTTAGTAGTTTGTGGGGTTTTATAGAAGAATAAAATTGAAGACATTAAGGAAACAATAAACAATAGACATTATTACTGCTATTGCATAAAATATGCAAACCAGATGGAATCTTTGTGGAATACTTATAAAAATGTTTTAGAGACAATGAAATATAGCTTTATTTAAAACAATGTAACTGCCATTAGAAATAAAAATGTGTGTTCGCATTGGAAATTCTAATTAGATATATGCATCTATATTTTTTCTAGAGTAATATACGCTTGCTGCTGTTCTGCAGTTGGCTACACATGTGGTGTCAGGTCTCATAAACTAAAATGTCTCAGACCTGAGGTAAATACTGGGCCTCTCTGAAGTACCTGGCTTGCTTTGACTTCCGTTACAGTGGAGCCAGGATGGAAGACACACAGGGGGAGCTAAAAAGAAAAGGTATTTTAGGATGCAGTGCTGATCTGAAAAAATGTTGTGGTGCTTCTCCCTGGTACCAAGATAAACCACATTTTTAGCTACTGATAGATGGTGAGATTCAGATTAGCTGGAAGATCAAGACTTAAAAAATCTTTTCTATGTTTTTTAGGTTAGGTGGTTTAATTCCAGAGCTGTTTAAACACATTTATTTATTTTTAGTGATGACAGTAGTTGTAAGCCATTTCTGTAGCACTCTGAGATCCAAGCCAAGATCTGGGCCCTGCTGGTTTTGGTACTGAAGAATACATGTTCTTGCCCCAGTGAGCTACTCTCTAAATAGAAAAGATGCACCGATTTTTACAGAAGGTTTAACAGAGAGTTGAAGGGGCCAGTCCAAAGTCACACGGCAGATCTATGGCTGAAAAAAGGATAAAGCTCAGGTTTCTGGTACCAATATTCCGTGTTAAAATTCACTGGATACTCACTGTGCCACTGAAAATGTTAGAAATATCAGTCTTGAGACAATAAAGGGGTAGCAGAGGTGGTGACAAAAATACTTTGACTCCTCTGTAGTTAGCAGGGCTGAAGCTCAGTCTTGGTAAACTGCACATTTAGTTATTTACTAGTGGGTACAAGCATCCAAGGTGTTTATTAACCCACCTACTCTCTAACCCTTGTTTCTTACCATTAGGATGAGATTCCTCTCTCTTCTTTGGAGAGATCTTTATGTAATCTCCCCCCGTGTATACATGAGGGTGAATGTGTTTCATGTGGTGTGAATCAAAAGCAAAAACCTTGAGTGCTGCAAAAGAAGAAAAATACTGTACAAATCACAGCTCCATTACAGTCTACCATAATTTACAGTTGGGTTAATAAATGTGCTATTGGATTGCATAATTACCGTGAATTTTAGGAATATATCATTGTGCCAAATATTTCAAGAAAAATGCTATTAATATAGCATGTTTGCTTAAACCTCTATGTTTTGTTATTTTCATGCATACATTTTGCTCTCATACTTTTTACTCTTTCCATGAAAAATATGGTCTTTTATTTACCTTGCATTAAATTAGGCACTGGAAAGAATAATGTAGGTTACTTTAGGAAGAGCTATTGCTTTATTAAAAATGCATTTCTGAAAGGGACCACAAATCACAATTATAAAAAGCAAAGCATAAAATTCTCTACTGAATAGTAACATTTGATAAAAGCCAATTTTTGAAAAGTATATATTTTATAGTTATCTATCCATGCTACCAAATGCACATTGCACCATGAAATAATGATGTGTCTTGTCAAAAAGCAAACAAACAAGTATCACCCCTCAGGACAAAAACTACATTAGAGGACATTGAGCTCTTTACTTCGTTCATTATAGTGCTGAGTTTCAATCACCCAGAATGGGAACAAAAAAAAAGTCAATCAGGCCTTTTTTTAAAAACAAAACAAAACAACAACAAACAAATCTAAAACTTGACTGATGGAGGAATATCACTAAGCTAGACCATCTGCATTGCTTATAGCATGGCACACAAAAATAATATGAGCTATTCAATAGACCAGCTGTCAGAAAATGTTTGTCAGGACATAAGAAATAGTTTTCTGTGGCTGGAGTTTTGAAAAGCTTGTAGTTCAAGAGCTTGCACCATAAAAAGCAGTGGAGAGAGAGGGGTAAGTTGTAGGTCTTGTCCCAAAATAGATGTGTGGGGCACATATGAACCCTGTGGAAAATATATTCATGCTGAAAAACAATAACAAAAAATGTTAGTGTTTGGGGCCAGTTTGGAAAAGAGCTCATGCAGTTTCCCATTTTAGAACAAAAGCAAGCCAAAAAGGCATCGACCTTTCAACACGGAAATTCCTCCCCATTCTCTTTATCAGCTTTTTCTGTCTCCTTGGTCTGACGTCTACACTGCAACCGGAGGCTGCACCCAAATCCTCTCTTCTCGATCTTCATGGCCTCAGCTCTGGAGCCACGAGAGCCTCAGGTCTGCAGCCAGGGTGGTGGGGAACAGGGGCTCTACAGCCAGTTCCTGACACTGCTCTGGATCTGCTGCAGACCCAGAGGTACTCTGCACTGACATAAAGCTACTTCCACAGAGTTTGTGTCATGGAACAATTCACTGCCTATTTTTTCATCACTCTTGCTAATTTAGTTTCAGAAAGGTGAGGGCAGAACAGGTGGTTTGACCTGCCTCGGGACCAAAGGAGGAATCTTTCTCATCAAGTCATCTTATAAAATGGCAAACCAGCAAGAAGCACTGAAGGACTGTACTGAATCTAGAACAAGAAATCAGGTCACATACAGTTTGGGTATTTCCAGAAAAACAAAAATGAAAGAGTGGCCATTGCCAAAGGAATCAGCAGTGCTTTATTAGGATTTTCAAAAGCTGCTGGTATCAGCCTTACTCTGCTCCCCTTGAAGGAATGGTAAAACTATTATTACCATAGGGAATCAGTAGGAACTGGTGTGAAGACACCAGCACACAGGGAGAAGGTAGGAGAGCAAAATAGTGCAGTTGAGACTAACCAATTCTTCTCCTCTGAAATTCCTCTTAAAACGAGAAATTTCTCTGAAAATAAAGCCACGCAAGATTTGACTCACTAGGTACAATCCCTATTCCAAGTTCTTTTACAATAACTTCACTGAACCAAAAAGAGTAAAAAATCTGTATAGAGCAAATCCAAATTTCATTCCACTGGTGTTTTTTATGCATATAAGATGCATAGGATAATTTTGTGCATGTAAGATGAATCTAGATTCACTGTGACAGTGTAACTATAATGAGAGATTGAAAGAGAATCTGAAAGGGCAACTTCCCACAGCCTCTCAGGTTTTTTCTGGGCTCAAATTTTTTTGAAAATTATGATACCTACACTGAAAGTCAGCTGTTAGTTATGAAACTCATACAAATTAACACCTGTGTGTTTCACATAACACCATTTCTAATCTTCATAATTGTGCTGAAAAACTCCTCAGTGTAATCCACATCTAAAGTATACCTTAGATTAATTTTCTTTATTTTACCTATGTCACTTGCATTAGCATCTAGCTGTGTTGTCTTTTTGAAGTTCTGTGACATGAGAAGCATCGCTTGTTCTGCAGTATGCAGCAGCTTAGTCAGGCTCCGTCTTTGGTTATCTACAGGAAGAGCTTCCCAGACCGCAATTTTGTCTTTTTGTAAAAAATTGTTCACAGTATTAACCAAAACCTGTAAATAAAAGAAATTTTTTAAGTGGAAGAGTCATAAGCTATTTGTAAAATAAGAAAAAGCCCCACAACTTTAAGGCTTGATCCACTCACGTTAATAGTTGTATTACGAAGTGCTTCATTGTCAGAAACAGAGTAATGCATGGTATTCAGTGATGAATACGATAGTGCTTCAACATATGAAATCACATCTACAGGTAAAAGCGGACCTGAAGTATTTTTATTAATCTCTTGCAGCATCTCCAGTGGTGTTTTTAAATGACTAATCTGAAAAATACAAGAACTCGCATCTTAATGAAACAAGTAAGGTCACATTTCTTCAAGTGAAAGTAAACCCAATACCAATGACTGATTTCTGTGAATTAATACACTGGCTTCTAAGATGCTTGTGCATAAAAGGAGACACTACTTAAATCAACAGTTTGACCTATGAAGTAATGGTGTTACACGTCTTGTATAACCCTAACAAGCAACTATGATTATAAAAAAAGTTATGTGCTATGATTACACCTTTTTTTTTTTTACTACTGCAGCTCAGTTTTGTTTATCCTAAAGCTCCAAAATGAACTAGTAAATGTTCTGTGAAAATAATTAAATATCAGTGATATGGTTACTCTGTTGACTTTTTTCTGTTAAATTTTAGCTGAAGAGGTGGGAGCAGATGGGCAGTCTTTGTACATTTTGCGGTGGTGTTTTTTCAAATGCAGATTATAAAGCATGTAGTTTAGTGAAACTGTACTGTCTATTTCACTTTCTCTGCTTCAGTTTATGAACTGCTAAATGCACTTACATAAAACACTTAATTTAAAAAGTAATGGGCTAGAGAGGGTGAGATGAAGATTAAGATTGCAAGTTTCAGTCTCATGGCTGAATAAGAAAAGGATTCTTACTTCATGATACTGAAATCTAATGAGATTTTATCAAAACCCTCCCCAACACCTGATTTTGTAAGCTCCGTAGTCTCTGCTGCTGAACAGCTTTTATGGGGCCTGCTTCGTCTTTGACTGCAGCTGAATAGAACTAGAACACAGGCTAAAAACTAGGCTAAAATCTGACACACTGTTATTTACATAGAATTGAGGTGTTTTGACTTATTACTTTGATTTAAGTTTAGTTTGACGATGTACTTAAAAAAAAAGATCTCACACTAAGATCCTGCTGTGGCATTTACCATGTCTTTGCACATAAATGTGCATGTATTATATTTAACATAACGTATTACATTGCGCGTTAACATAGAAAGCATGTTAATACAATGTATATCTTACACTAGGTTAATAAAAGCCTTTAAATGAATAACTTTCTGAATCTTGTAACTTCGGCAAACTGCTTAATATAAAATGCAAATACAATTGGTTTTAATTTATTTCTGCTTATGTTTCATTTATCCTTTTAAATTAGACAATACTATAGCTGTAGACTAATGACTAGTGAATCTATTAATATTTTTTTAATTTGCTTCAGGAATCTCTGCTTCTGGTGAAAAAAAATATCTTGAGTCCAGAGTCTTTGAGTCTATAAATTCTGTACCACTTTACATACTATGCTTTGAGGAGTAAATATACTAGCATACCAGGATGTTATTGCTCCATTTTTTTTATTGTCACTTGTTGACATGACTTATCTTGCTACCTTTCACTCTGAACAAGCAAATAATTGCACATCAGTAAATGCAGCAGTGTGTAACTTCAGAAATTACAGAAACAGTTGAGTGATTAGCACACTTCTGAATTTTTCATGCATCATGACTCATTTTGCTGGAAACAGAGCACACAGATTCCCAGCAAGTTATTATCATGATTTGAACACACAACCCAGTTCAAATAATTTGAAATTATTAAAAAGACTTCTGTAAACATGCTTAAGTTCAATTGTATGCTTCAAGCATTTGTTAAAAGCTCCTTAAGAACTATTATAATTGAAATAACAGTTTCAAACAGAAACAATTAAAGGATTTGGAAATTAATCTATAAACCAATGCTACTTACTCCAGCTAAAGTTCTATTAATATGTTCAGTTATACAGTCTTTGTATAACTCACACTTGGCCTTCGGATTTTCTGTAGAAATTAAAAAGAAACTAATTATATATTGCAGTTTAATCAATATTCAAACACATACTCATTGTAAGAGCTCTTGTCTAAGTCATTCTGCAAACCACCAGCATTCTGAATTTATGCACATAAGATGCAGCACTCCATTCTCAAACTTCAACTAATAAGACTTTATCTTGGCCAAAGTTACAGCACTGGATTGGACTCGGAGCTTTTGTTTTACTCGGGTAGAGAGTTTGGCCCCTTTCCTTGGGACTTCCACAGGTGAAGTTAAGAGACAGCTCAAGTTTACAGAGAGGAGTACAGATCTGACAACTATGGAGAGGTAACCATTATTTCAAATGGATTTCATCACACTGTTTAGCAAAAATACATTTACGAAATGATTCTATTCTCAGAAAATGCAGATGCCACTGGCTTGCCTCTTTTTCATGTCTCGCTGATTAATCTAACTGAAGATAAAGAGGCACTGGTGGGTTTCTCAGAAGATGTAGCTCTATAATAACACATAAACCTTTATAATATCATGTACCTTGGCAGGAAGTGCCATCATTTGGCTTAAACTGCAATTTTCCTGTGGATGGTTGATAACCTTCCTTACAGAGGCAGTTAAACCCTCCATCCACGTTTTCACATTTTGCATGATCTCCACAGGAAACAGTTCCTTCATTGCTGCACTCATCTACATCTGCAAATATCGTGAGAAATTGAATTTTTTATTAAGTATTTACAGACTAACACCTTGCTGCTTTGTTGATAATAGCCTCACACACTGCAAGCAGTTTCATAATAAAATTTCATGGAACAAAAAAGAGCAAAAACTAAAAAGGCAAACTTAATGGCAAAACACCTGCCAATTATAATACTTAGGGATTAGAAGGATAAATCATAATTGATCATATTTTTATACCACCACTTTTATTACTGTATAATACTGCATTGTTCATGTTTTAAAACCATGAGTGTAAACATTAATTCTATGATAACAAAATGCTCGGCATGATGCAAATCATCTGAAATCCATTTTCCAGAGATTAGACTAAATAGATTTTCTCAGCCTTATGATTCAGTTAGAAAAGAGAAAGAATACTGCAGCCTTTTCTTTTAAGTCACGGCTTTAAAAAGATGCTACAAAAGATCACTCTATCCATCTCGTTAATCTAAGATTTAAACTCTGTGCCCTTTAAAGTGCTTGGCATGTCTTTTTTTAAAGCCACATTTAAATTACATTTGCCTAAAATGCCTTTTGTGCTTCTAATTAATTTGCCATTAGGTAGACAAGTTCAGTAACTGGGTGCGGCACAGTCCAAGAGTAAAACTGATGAATTCCGGTAAGGGAATCCATGAATTGATCAGTTTAGGAGAGGTGAGTGCTAACTCTCTGGCTGGAGTAGGGATTATTTTGCATTATTTGGTTGGCTGAGGATAAAGATCAAATAACCTAACGGAGAAAGTAAACTGGGAACAATACCAAATAATTCTGAATAATGAAGTAATGGACTATGAAATGCTGTGCTGGAGAGGAGAAAAGAGTGAACAGCTTTGAGACAGGTATATCTGATGAAAAGAGTTGAAAAATGAAGAAGTGACACATGAGCAGATTTAAATGAACAGCCTAAAAGAGAAAAGGCTGAGAACTGAACTGAAGGACAGTAGAGGGGGGGATGGATGAGCCAGAGAGGAAGACAACCTAAGTTAAAAACCGGCATGACACTGGATTTGGGAAAGAAATTGGTGAAAAGAGAGAACTGGTTAACTGATTAGTGGAGGAAAATAGCTACCTGAATTGATAGGAGGCCTTTGTGCAGCCAGATGGGTGATAGGAACAGACAGACAGAAAGCAGATATAGGGGGCTGGCACTATTAGCCTATAGGAACTATTTTTGCACTCGTATTTTGATACAAGATTGTTGGTAGTTTTCAAAAAGGAGTAGAACAAAAAATGAACAATAATACATGTGAAATAAGGTTTCTAGAGAAACGGAAATTGTGGCAGAATGGAAAAATATACTGCATCTGTGTGGATATACCTAGGGAGTGCAGAAATATGTCTGAAGGATACCTGGGGGCCATCTGCCTATTTGGACAGCATTTTTGGTAACTTTGTAGAACGTTGTTTACTAATGGCAAAAGAGCCTCCATAAATAATCAGATGAAGACGGTTTTGTTTGTTTGTTTGTTTTTTTAAATACAGGGTGACTGTAAAATGCATTTAAACTTCTAATGGAGTGTCCCAACAGTTTCTGCATCCACTCAATTTTTGCTGTTTTGTGCTTAATTGCCAGCTCCCTTTCTTCTGCTCATAATCCTAGAGGTCTTCCTCAGGCTCAAGGAGATGGTTGAGGTCCCACCTAGTTTTCACATCCCTATTATCCTGACTGAGCAGTGGCTCTGATTTGCACCTGAAATGCTGTGGTTTAAGCCTGAGGTTCAGAAGCTCCCACTGAAAAGCCATTCAGACTCGCACACAGCACAGGTGGAAAGGAGAGGTGGGGCTGGAAGCGCATTTGCCCTCCCCAGCACAACCACCCCTGCTCTTCAGGGAGAGCTGCCAAGGAGACTGTGTGTTTGAGTGCGTTGGCGCAAGCACTGTATTTTAAAGTATGAGGTTAAATTATAATTATCTGTATTAGGGCAATAGTTTGTTTCCGTATTTAATGCCCCAAACTGCCAATGTTTCTCTTTAATGAGCTGAGTTTTGCATTATCTGTATTTGTACGTTTTCTGTGACCTTAGTATTCATAGTCATGGAGCTAACCACGTTATACATCAACGAATCTGGCAAAAGTGAAGAAAAGGGGGGAAAAACCCATGATATAGTGCTGTACACAGACTACCTCATAATTAAATGCTGTCATTTAAAGACATGAGGCTAAAGTTCTTACTCTTGGCATCTAAATAACCTCTCACATCAGTAAATTATAAAGCTCTTTTTGAAACAAGTGGGTGCCTGTCAGTGCCCTGTTGTGTGACTCTGTGTCAAAGACAGAAAAAACTTTGAATGAATTGAAGTGGCAAGGGTGAAAACCATGACAATACTGGTTTGTATAACAAGAACACACATCAGCCTTATACCAAAGTTTTCTTTGGCCTTGTCAGCTACATGGAGAAGGACACGTACATCATATCAAGATATTCAGCATGTAATGCAGTGCTAAAACACCAGTAAATGACAACAAGCTTCGCTAAAACTTACGACTTATAAATAAATAAATATTGAACACTTTCCAGACTACCATTGCTAAGTATCAGGTTTCCATGTGATTTACCAATGCAAATATTTCAAAATTATTATGATATTTTGCTTTTCATAAGCCTTTAGTTTGGCAAGTAATTTATTTGTCATTATTGGGCACATATATTACCCTTCCTTTTTTAATTATGTCAGATATTAAGTGTAATGGAGATTTTAATGACAATTAAGGATTATCCAAAACAACAGCAGAAACTCAAGCACCAAGGCACATCTCTGGCAACAGGATGGCTATTTAAAGTCTTACAGAGATACCCTGTTGAGTATATGCAAATAGACTTTCTACAGTTGAGTTGTCCATATGGAATGAGTCCATATCACGCCTGTCTAATTTACTGTTTCCTGGAGAAAAAAAATCTCCTGGATGACAAAATTAAAAGGCAATATGCCTGATCTTGCAAGGTACTAATCAGCTTCATATCCCTTTTAAATCAATGAGATTGTCAGGGCAGCCAACAATTTGCGACAGTTGCAAGAATGCTGCTTTTAAGTTCCTGCTTTGAAATACTGTGTGCAGTAGCTCTAGGGTTTTGTTTCTTTATATTTTGTAGTTATGCCTTTTTTAACCAAATATGCAATTGTTGGACCACACAGGGACAACAGCTTGTCAGTGCTTTCAGCAATCCAGTTTTACTGGAGCTTTGGGGCGAGGATCTCAAACAGTCCTCCTTGATCTACTATGGGAGCGGGACTGGGCTGCCAAGGTTCGCGTGAGCCGTCTTCACAGAAAACATTCCTGAGCAAAGGTTGAAGAACAGCAGCTTTTTAAACAGAAGAGCATTTGCCATAGCTCTGCAAAAAGCCCTGGTCTTTTAGTAAATATTCAAAACAAATCCTGGAGCTGAACTTTGAAGCTTTTATAATAGCTCCCATCAGAAAAATAATATCACCAACACCACTTAGGCTAGTGTGAAAATAGATTTATAACCTTTTATTTTATTTCTGTGCTTTGTCACTCCTCATTTACTGCAGCAGGCAAGGAAATTCCAATTAAATTAAAAGTACTGAGAACAGTTATTATGTTCGGTCTTGCCAATTACTGGATTGTACCTACATCGCTTTGATTCTTCACCAGTCAGTCAAGACAGCTTGATGTCTACATTATACCTTCTGCTTATTAGTAGCTTGCAAGTGATTGAAAAGTCCAGTTGCAAAGGACTAGATGTTCCCTCCCCATGTCTCCATGCTGTGGAAGGCAGCAGCACACACAAAGTAGAAATGAAAAAGCCTAAGAATGGCACAGGTAAAAGAAAAGTTAGCAATGTGGCATAGTGCCATATCCTATCCACTGTACAACTCCCCTGTCACAGAAGAGGATGTGATGGTGAATGGGTGCCTTCCCAGTGCTCTCATAAAGCCTGAAGAAAACTAATAGCACGTTCCTGGAAAAGGCAGAGTGGCACAGATGTCACTTTTGTTTTACAGATGGCCATTTTCACGTTTTTACTCCGTTGACCGGCATGAAAAAAGTAGGTTTATATTTCACCTTTTTATCTGCAGCCAAACATTCAATAAATGTGAAGTCTAAGGAAAAAGCATAGCTTTTACACAGTAAATAGATTTTAATAGCTCACATTCAAGACAGCAGAAAAATATCGTCTTCAGAAATATCACATCTCTGTATTCCTCTTTCTTCTCCATTTCCTTTCTCCTTCTCTTTTTCTCTCTCTCCCTTCCTACCCTCCAGTTCCTCCTCTATCCGTATGTTTCATTGTCATCTCTTCACCTACTCTGCCTGATAACATGGATGAAATACTGCTGACCCTCAACTCAAACCTCAAAATTCTGGTTGGATTAAGGGTGAACTGACATTTCCCAAAGCCATTGTCTCAGGTTTTCTTTTGATCCACTACCTTGAGAGTTATAATCACTTCCTATTCAGAAGTTTAGTACAGTATCCAAAGAGGGGAGGAACACACATGCATATGCACATGGACTTTGAAATGGACTCACACACACACAGTGATGTACCACACTTGCACCACTAGGAACTCCAGATAGGTTTGATGGCATAAAAAATATATATATAATGGCATACTCTCCAAAATTAAACCACCGTATTTTTAACGTTACTACCATAGACATTATACACATATATTAAAAAGAAAACTTAAAACTTTGCAGAATCTGAAAATATTTTGGGGCCTTATAAAACTGGGTAGGAGGGATATTTGGTAGCTCTGTCCTCCGATTTGTACTGGAAAACTTGCACTGTATTTACAATGACAACTTTGGTGCTTGCTTCAGCTGTGTGTAGTACATCCCGAATACACTACTGTCAGCTGCTTGTGTGCAAGTCATCTCTACTACCTGTAGCAGCAGATCCATTGGGTACAAAATATCCTATTATAGTTTCCCTGACAGATAAAGTAGAAAATTAATTGTGGATCAAAAGGTTGTCTTTAGGACTTACTGCTTGGTAAAGTAATTGGTACACTTGTTTAATGAGAAAAGGTGCCCACAGGTAATTCTTTATTTCAGTGTGAGTTTTGGAAGGTCTCAGCTCCTCCCATATGGATTTGCAAAAAGGAGAAGAAAAGTGGTAAAGTAACCCCCAGTAGAGGATAAAAAAAGATCAGCCTGCCCAGTAAAGAGGGCAAAAAAAAAAAAAAAAAAAGAAATTAGCTTTTTACCATTAGCTTGCTAAAGTGACACAAGAACAGTCAGAGAAATAACTGTGAAGACAAAACTTCTGAAGCTCAGGAAATGTCATAACATAAAAATCAAAGCCTGGACCAGAAACTGCAAGAATATTTACAGCTCAATGTGCTAACAGTCTCAGTCCCAGCTAATTTAAGAACGATTCATAGCGGCTGGATAAAGCAGAGCTCTTTTAGATGGATGTGAGCAATGGGCAAGAAATGTTGATTAGATCACTTTCTGGCTTAATATGCAGCCATTCTGCTGATATTAAGAGCGGTAAGAAGAGAGGTTGTCAGCACTCACAAGCTCACAGGAGACATATCTAGAATGAGACACAGTCAGCATAAAGGTGTAAAGGGCAATGGATTTATTTCTCATTTTCCCGTTCCCTGAGGACTGTTGCAACATACAGACAAAATTACCAGGAGTTTGAAAAAAGAGAAATAGTTACAGTTCTTCCATTCAAAGAAAATCCTAAAGGATTGCATAGTTGTTCAGAAATAACATTTTTCCAGAGAACTTTTCCTCTCCTGTAATCTTGAACATGTTCCATCCAATTGCTACAGATACAGAGGCTGATGGATGGCACAGGACGTAGGATAACTACTCAGCTTGCTCATTACTTTTGATCAGACTTGAAAAATTACCAAAAATATCCCAACCAAAGCCCCCAAAACTAAAGATATTTGGAGCACAGTAGGTCAGATGTATAGGGAATTTTGTTGGTCTCGAGTGACCCAAATGCAGAATGCTTAGTCACGCTGCTTTGTTTTAAGAATATGACCACCTTGTTCACAGATCAGTGAAACAGAGGCATAATTGGGTGGATTAGGGATTTCTGTGTTACTTTAACTACATATTCATCACCTAAAACTGTGACGTGGATTAAAAATATTGTAAGCAGAGTCAAGACTGAAGTGTTACTGAAAGCAATGGCAGCTGCTGTGTTATCAGTGAGAAGTGTGGGCCTGAACTGGAATATTAAGTCTGTATCAGTCCAAGTTGTGGGAATTTTATATCCAGACACCAAACTTCAGAAATCTGAAAGCATTTTGTTAGATTTCTATAATCAACAGAAGCAATAAAAGAAGAGTGACAATGTAAAGCTAGCTGGCAGACATTAATAACTTACCCACGCAGGAGGTTCCATCATTAGGTACAAAAGTTTGTTGACCATTGCTGGATTTGAAACCAGGTGCACACATGCAGAAATAACTTCCCACCGTGTTTGTGCAATTGGCATGCTCTCCACAAGGCTGAGTAGCATTTTCACATTCATTATCATCTGTCAAGACATAAATTATGGAGAAATGTATTTGCATTTGCCGATTGAAGAAAACAGTAAAGTAAAAGCTTGATTTGGCCTCTGGTATTTTATTTATGTAAGTTTTGAATGCTGAGCTGGCACTCTTAGTGTTTGTCTATATAGTTTTCCCATTGCCAAGGATGTAATCAGGTGTTCAGCAGCACTCTTCTGCCCTCATCCTGCGTGAGTCAACAAATGAGAAAACCAGTGGGATACTGAAGTGAACAGTTTAATTGGATATTCACTTGGAATAAAGGATTGAGACAAGTACGTGTTCTGCCATGGTTTTATCTGATAACATTTTTTGCTACCCAAAAAACTACAGATAGAGAGTCACCCCAAGGATGCATCTGGGAATTTAGAATCATAGAAAACAGAGCTCAAAAGGATATCAAGAAATCACCCATTTCAGTCCCTAACACCAGAGTAGGATCAATAAAGCTAAACTGACAGGTTTTTTTTCTGTCCTGTTTTTGAAGACCTTCTGTGGTATTTCTCAGCAGTCCCAGACAACAAAATTACAAAGTTTGTCCTACTGACTGACCCGAGTCTTCAAGTATATTGTCTTTTTGTAATTATCCCGAAGACCTTAACAAACAGATGAGCAAAATTCATGGCTTAATCTTCACCTTTTAGCAATTGCTGTGCAAGTCATCAGTTTTGTACCTGCAAAATTACATGATCTATTTTACAGGGCTAATCCCATGCCCCCAGTGATACATGAAAAAGGAACTCTATACACAAGTTTTAAGACTACTTCCTCCCTGCAGAGCCTCTGCATGTGCTATCGTTGTGAGCATGGGGATCCAGCTAGCTTGATCAAAGGTCAAATGAAATCATAAACTCATGCTCTGAACTGTATAGTTGATCTTCTGCAATGACTCAATAAAACTGTTTCCTCTCCAGAATCTTCCAAGGTCCCTGTTGTCTATTAAATAATTTTCAGACCAAACTTGAGAAAAATTTTAAAAAATATCCTTATCCAGACAGCCTACTTAGGAAACTAAGAGTAACACTCACAATATTGATCATGCCATCTTTCCAAATAGCCCATTTCTCCCAAAGCACCCCAAAATTCTGAACAAACCAACCAATGAAATTCTCTCAAAAAAGAAGACACTCTGAATGGAATTCCCCATTTTATACATCGTGAGAAAGGAAGAGAGTTAAAGGCTTCCTGAAGTCTACTGGGATTTTATTCCTGTTCTCAAGCAAAAGGTACTCATAACATGATGAATGACAGAAAAGAATTCTAACAGGGAGAGAAATAACAATTTATTGCAGAAGAGGAACGATTAAGGAGCGTGACAGGGAGAAGAAATATGATTTCAGAAAAGACGTCCAGGGATGAGTTTCAGAAAGGTGCTTCTGCTTCCTGATGGTCAGTGTCCTCATAAGGTGTTTACCGAGATAGGGTACAGATAAGTAAAGCGTCATGTAAGTTAGGGAAGTGGCAAGATTAAAGTACACCAAGAGCTGTAAAGCATTGCAGGAATACATTTCTGCAATATAACTTAGTCACAACCCCTAGAATAACATTAGAGAAGGACATTTTTCAGATTTGAAGTCTGACGTGATTTTGAATGTTACTCAGTTGACTCAGAGAGGCAAATATCAGTTCAGAACTGCAGCTTTCCTCAGGGGAATTTGGGTCAACAGTATCAAATGGATTATCCTCATTATAACTAAAATTGAATGTAATTTAATGAGGAATCCAAGTATAAAAGCACTTTGCCAACACATGTCAACAATATTTATTCTACAGCTTTGGTATTCATGAGAATACCGCAGAGAAGGTGCATGATTTGGATCTTACTTAAAGAATGCCGAGGTAAAACCAAATTAGTCTAAGTGAAATTATGATAGGGAGGAAAAAATGTGGTGTTAATCCAAGTTCAAAAGCTAAGCATAAAAATATGAAAAATCCAGTTTGGCACTTGGCATTGCAGAGACCAGGGCCCAGAACACTTTACAAATCTTGGTAGCAAGGTACACTTGTTTGAATATCATTAGTGTGTGTGTTTGGCTCTTTTGGAATCCCAGTTTGCTCCTGGACCCTGGCATTTCATGACAAAAAGAAGTGGACTACCCTATTTTCGCTGTCAAGCAAACATGCTCTTGGGAAAGTAGTATAGGTCCTAGAAATAAAAATATGTGTTGACTTTGGAAAGCTCATGAGGTAGTAGTCATGGAAGATGAGAAGTAGGACACTGATCACTGCAGGACTTCATTCAAAGTAGAGGAATAACAGAGCTGATGAGAGGAAATTTACAGGCTACATACAAGAACGTTTCTTTTGGGTTTGTCTTCTCGTAGCTCCACTATAGCCCTCAAAATCCAGCACTAGTACCTTTTTCAGGTGGTCCAGAAAGTTTATAAGCAGTATTAAAATGACTCATGCAGTGGTCATCAATAAATCCTTTACAATTATGCCTCATTATCTCCACTGGATTATTGGTATTTTTCCTCAATATTTAGGATGCTTGTAAGGGGTTTAATGGTGACTATGTTGCCTTAGAAGGCTTGCCTATTGAGAGAACTTTTCCATAATTTGAGAAACCTTTAGAAAATCCAAGAAGAATAGTGGTAACTTACATTGCAAACACAAGAATGGATATTTTAAAGACTTAAATTGATAAGGAGCTTTCTTTTTGCTACTCCCATGGTCTAATGCAATACTGAGCAGACCATGCTGGGCGATAATTTACTGGATGACATCCTGCTTCCATTGAAATTAATGGCATAAAAGTCACTGACGTAAGTAGGCCCAGGGTGGTGCTTGCTATGGAAAACTACTGGGTTAATGAGAAAGGCAAGTGAGGAAGAAGTTTTCAAGAAAAAAAAAAAAAAAAAAAAAAAGGAGTTTCACGTACAGTTTGGCTAGACGTGTTTAAATAATCAGCTTAATTTCACACAAAATATTTTACATCAACAATGATGGCAAAAATGTCTTCTAGTTCTCTGTATAAACAATTTGAACTTTTTCTTCAGGCAGCAGTTCAATGTGAAACCCAGGGGCTTAAACTAATTTCCCAAATTTTACATGATTTATAACATTATTGGATTTGTGATTTAAAGGACATCAGGGGAAAAAAAAAAAAAAAAAAAACAAAACACCAACAGGATTTAGAGATGGAAAAACGTTTTGAGGTTTTTTTGTTTGTTTAAGAAAAATTTCTGTCTACACAGAGAGGATACTTTAAATGACAGCAAACATATAATCCATGTGCTTTGTTGCTACCTAATTTAATTATGTCATGTGCATTCATTGCTGGCAAAGATACCCATTACACACTACAGGCAGTATTTCAGGAATGCATGTTCCTTTAAAGATTTTTTTCTTTTTTTCCGGTAACTGATGAAAAATCAGGAGACTTTTAGAAACAAGATTGGCCAAATGACAAGGTTAATTATTGTGGCTAAATGGTAATACTGGAATCACTGCATTCAAGTCTGTTTGATACACAAGACATTTGCTGAATAGCTGAGCTGTCTTGAGAAATGGTGTTTATTTTTGGGTGGTGGGGAGCAGGTTGTTTGTGGGTTTTTTTGTTTGTTTGGGGTTTTGTGTTTGTTTTTTACATCGCAGTTCTATGCTTGTTCTATGCTTGGGTTGCTCTAAAATCTTATCACTAAAATCTTATCATTAAAAATTACAATGTGAGGAAGGTCATAAATAGTTTCCTAGGAAGTGTGTTAAATAACCCAAAGATGGGTGGATACAGGGCTGTGTATGTATGTGCACCTGAATATCAGTAGGATGCTTACCTGATACACATGTAAAATAAAACTGATTCTCCATTTTCACTTTAAAAATGCAGCTAGTATGTATTTTACTGTACATAGACGTAATTATGGTTAGTGGGAATCAGCTACTACTGCATGTAATAATTTCTCTACTAGTCTCTTGAAAATTTATAAGGATCTTCAAAAGCAAAAGAAATCTGAAAAGCTGATATATCCCTTTCAAACTCAGTTTGAACGGAGGATGGTAATTCTGTATTAAAACTGCATGTGTTCATTAATATGAGAACACCATTGGTTTAGGATTGAGTAGCCCCCTCAGAAGTTTGAGCGTTGATGGAAATCTTCCCCTGTGACAGAGGGCTATAAATTGGATCCAGCATTTGAACAATCGCTCATTTACATCAGGTAACATTAATGATTGTTAAGCAACATGTGTATTAATTTTGTTTAGCATTGATATAACACATTTTTGTATAAAGAACATTCAATTCTTTTAGAAATTTTAAAACATATGAAATACAAAAAGGAGGAATGATTTGTGGATTCTAGGGCCATGATGCAGTTGGAAGCTAGAGGAATCTGATAAGATTTTAGGAAAAAGGATAGAGGAAATTTCTTCTATCATATTCCATATACTTTCCAAAGTGCAAGTTTTATCCTGTCATGTATCCTGTTCTAATACTGGGTGGTTATAAAATTATAATCTAGAATAGGAAAACACCAGGGCAACTACAGCTACAAAATAACATAATTTGTTATTATTGTGACAGGCATGAGAAAATGCCTTGAATTATCCATTTTAGATATAAGATTTTTATAATACTGTTTACATATTTTACATGAAAAATGTCACGAAGGAAAGTCTTACGGCAGCAAATTTATCAAAATAGCTTTGAAGGGTTTCCATTGCACTGAACACATCTCCATAATAGACTTTTTGATGATATGACATATAATACGAAGAGTTAGTTTTGGGGTGAAGCTTGTCATATTGATTCACAATCACACAGAAGTTTGGGTTTTTTTTTTCTTTTTGTAAATTTTGAAGTACACTGTTTCTCCCTTCACTTTGAGTAACAAACGAGGTTGGAACCACCCAAATTAAACAGAGTGATTTGTGCCTATTCAATCCTTGCCAATCCATGCAAAATGAGATTTTTGTAGAAGTGAAACTTTGTATTATAGAATATATTCTGGGTGCTCTGGCATTGATTCTGGGTGCTCTGGCATTG